TTAGTATTTACATTGCACAAAGAATTTGCATATTGTTTTTTAATCATATTTTGTATTTTATATTCTTCTTTTTTCACATTAAGGTGCATTAATATTTTTTACGCATGTTCGAAAAAATATTTTTTATGCATGTTTATTTGAAATTTTGATTAGGTTAAGAGAACACGTATATTTATATTTGTATCAGTTATACTTAAGTGTTACTAACGTATACCAATCCTGATTTCCTGTGTGTTGCTGCCTAGGTCGCTTAGGCGGTTGCCTAGTTGTCTAGGCGTTATGGCAGTACACTAGCGCCGCGCCTCGCCTTGGCGTTGTGACAACTATGGTAAACACATATGCACGAACAAAGTAAGAGCACGACAACACTTTCCAAAGACTGAGTATTTGGAATGCAATTTTAGCTGTTTGAGGAGTGAGTCAAAAATCAAAGTGAGGATTATATTCTACCAGTACCTAAGAGGGACAAATTTAGGTTCCTGGGGTCCACCTTTGAGGATGATGGGGAGATCAATGGGGATATTGTTCATCATATTGGAGTGGTGTGGATGAAATGGAAGCTATGATGTATGGGGGAGGGGAGAGTGTTGGGCAGTGAATAACTTCAAAAGCTCCAAGTGGTAGAGATGGGGATGCTGAGATGAATGTGTGGCCATACAAGGATGGATAGGGTGTAGAACAAAGTTATTTAGGAAAGAGTAAGAGTGGCTTCTGTGGAGGATAAGTTGTGTGAAGCTAGATGGAGATGAGTTGGACACATGTTGAGAAGTACTAATGCACCGGTGAAAAGGTGTGAGAGACTTGAGGTAAGGGGCGTTAGGAGAGCCCGAGGACTAGAGGCCGTCCTAAAAAGAGTTGGAGGGAGGTGATTAGAAACGACTTACGGCTTTCAATGCTAACCGATGATATGACCTTAGATAGAAGTGGTTGAAGGTCATGGATTATAGTGGTAGGGTAGGCCTTGTGGGGTGCGGTCTACCCATGCATAGGATTTGTTGCCATACTTTGTTGTAGTTAGGTGTCTGCTTACTCCTTTTTCTGTACCTCCCTTTTCCTTTTTCTTTTTCCCTTTCATTTTTTCATCAGGTTCTTCTGTGTTTTGAGTTCAGGACTCTTGGAAATAATCTCTGTGTTTTGTATAGGTAAGGTCTTCGTACACCTACCCACCACCCTCCCCAAACCCCACTATGTGGTATTATACTAGGTTTGTTGTTGCTTGTTGTGGGTGGATGTCGGAGTGGGACTTGAATATCCTTCTTAGTTTGATTCCTATGCTTCTACGCAGTGACATAATTAAACACTAATCCAATTCGTCCATTACGAGTACAACTGTGTTATCACCCATTTACTGTAACTTCTTTCTTTAAGAAAAAGTAAAAGAAACAAGGGTCAGGGATCAAATCCCTATTTCAGCCATTAAATTAGGAAGCACCTTCTCTTGGCCCTGAGCAGGTCTTGGAAGTCGCTCTGCTTCAATATCATACTTTAGAATCCTGAAGCATTCAAGCCGTTCTTCCAAAAAGAGAGCATATGTGCGTACCCATGCAGAGCAATCCCAAGCTGAGTTAAAAAAAAAAAAGTGTGCTCACAACTTAGATGATCTCATAGCATAATCGAAAGCTGGTCAGTTACTGAAACTCAAATCATGGAGAAATACAATAAAAATGTACAACACTTTTTCTACTGACCAATAGGGCTTGAGTCATCCTTAAAATTAGACATTTGAAGAACACGGCCTCTCTGCTGAAAATTCAAAAGCTCCTCGCGAAAAGTAGGATCACCTTCCCTCAATGTTCTATGGATTACAATGAGTGTTTTTAGTGCCACCTACATGGGATGAAACAATATCAATAAGTTCAATCTCTATACTATCTTAAGAAAATATCAGCCGCATTAAAAGAATGAAAGTTGCAAAGATATTTTAGAAAATGAGGTGTTTTACAAATCCCCTTTATGTCCACACAAATATTCATGTTCTAATTACATAAGAGTGAATGAATACATGGTAATTTTCTCAACTATCAATAAATTGTTTTCCAACCCACCAAGGTTTAACTAGTGCATATGTGTAACTAGCAAACAGACATCATGCAAATGATCAAACCAAGTAAAATTCATCATAAATTTAGAAAACGTTATACAAAGCTATAAGTGACTCTTTTTATATTAATGTCAACTACCAACACCTGACACATGAGTACAATAGTTTCATACTTCCTTCAACAAGGGCCAAAAGGAACACATTCGCGTAACCAACAACCTTTGAGCACAGGTTGAAATACTTAACAGAAGTTATCATTTTGAAGCTTCATAGTAAGGGAAAACTATGTTCAAATTAATTGACCGCCAACACCTGACCCCCCCCCCCCAAAAAAAACTTGAGTTGTCATATCCACACTCAATTGAAAAGCATTCCGTTGGTTGATTTCGTTCCAGGTATGCGTAAAGGAAATTGAAGAAATATTATACATTACTGAATGCATGACATAACAGATATAAAAATGCTAAAAGGCATTTATACCATGGATTTACTAGTATATCCTTGAATGAATAAATATGTAAGTGCACGGGAAGAGGGTATATTGGAAATTATACAGGAATGATCTGCAGTGATTAACATGGATTTACTAGTTCTGATGATTGATCTCATTCCAGGTAATTTTAAAGAAATATTATACATGTTTTTCAACAAACATTTAAAGATAACAAGAGATGATTGGCTGGGTTCGAACTCCCAACATTGCCAAAAAAGGGAGAGGCATAGGCCATCAGACCATTGGTGGTTTTATACTGAATATATTAAATGCATGACAAAACACTTTACTTATAAAACTGCTAAAAGGTCCCTTGAATGAATGAATATTAAAGCATATGGGAAGAGGGTATATTTGCAGTTTTACAGAGATGGTCTGCCCCACAGTATAGGTGATGTCACCCTAGCATTTTCATACTTACCAGCACTCCCTCCACTCATCCCCACAACAATAGCAACCCAGTAAAGTCCAACAAGTAGTGTTTCGAGAGTGATTATGGAATTGGAGACCTTACCCCAACCTAAAACTGTAGAGAGGCTGTTTCAACTCCACTCATCCCAAAATTATAAAACCATATAAGAGAAGGCTAAAAAAAAGTTGGTTGTGAGGATACTGGTTGTATATTGAAAAGTCAGCAGCAATTTAATTTATGAAATTGCTGAAGCATGCACTCTGTTAAAATGTATCTGATTCCTATATGTAGCATAACTTTCATCTGTTTCCTCCCATCAGAATACCATAGGAAAGTTTTGTAAAAAAGTGATGCATTTAAATATCTTGCAAGACCTTAAATGAATAAATACAAAAAATTAACTGCAAGTTCTGGCATGACTCTATCACCCTCCGTATTGTTACTTCATTCCAACAATAATTGTTTATGCAGTAGAGATATCAAAACCATCACTATCATAACAGCAAATGATGGACTAGGCACAGAGTAAACTGTACTCTAGAATACAATTTAAGGTAGCCTTGCCACGATGATCTTAGAAGATAATAAACAACTTGGTATCTCAAGTAAAATGTTCAATGACATTCAAACGATCAAACCAAGAGCTTATCTTAAAATGGAAATTTTCATTGAAATCAGATCAACACATACTGTAAGCCCAAAGGTAAGAGCATAGCATCTCGATTCAACCCTATCTGTAAATTGCAGTTCATACCGTCCAGTTATGTGTCTTTGCTAATCTCCTAGCGAGCGCATGCAAGCAGTATGCAACATCAGCCCTGGGCCGCATTGCCGATGTATAAACCATAATTTCTGCAACAAGAAAGAAAATAGAATACCCCAAATCTAGCTTTAGACATTCTTAATAGAGAAATGTGAAGCCAACCCCCAAACGCAAAAAATTCCTGAAAATCCAATCAAACAAAATGCATTTTCACTTCCACACAATTCCATCAGACAAAATCAAAACAGAACACCCAGAGTTGAAGAGACACTACAAGCTCCACTAGGTAAAAGGTCCATGTTTCCAAAACAAGAAAACAAGTAACTTGATCAAGTTTTCTTCAAGCACATAAGGAAAAAATGAATCGCAGACATACGGCTAGCATACAGCAGATAGATCTGCGGAAGAGTGGGGGACACTCACTTCTAATTTGTCTATCTTTGGGCGGGCACTCAACATGATTCGTAGCCTTAACGATCGCCACGTCCACATCCTAAGAAACGGAAAATGGGGCGTCAAAGATCGATATTAAGCGGAATTCATACCAGCATAAATCCATAAAGCCAAAACAGGAACAGCGCTCAAACATATTGACACAACTGAAGATTTTGACACAGAGAAATGAAAAGAAGGAGAAGGAAGACCTTGAAATCGCTATTGACATGGGCAAGGCCTACTTTGGTGTGATCTTTGAGAGCACCGTAGGCCTTCCTCCATGTTTGTAGGGTGCCCATCTCCCTCTCTGTCTGCCCTCTACACAGTTACTTCCGATCCTTCTGTGTTTCTCTCTCTCTCTCCCTCTCTCTAGAAGACCTCGCGATGCCTGAATTGTTCTCTAGTTAGGACAAGAGAGAGAAGCGTACAACTTTTTTGGAAAGTCGGGGGCAAATCCATCATCAATCAATTGAACCGGGACCGGGGCGGGTGGCTTTTGGCGGCCCCTCCAATTCGGATCATTAATCAATTGAACCGGGACCGGGGCGGGGTGGCTTTTGGCGGCCCCTTCAATTGGGTGCCTCATCATTTCGCTTTGTGTATTCAACATTTCAACGCAATACCTTATTGTTAGAAGCAAGGCATCCACTGGTGCTGGTTTTCTTATTTCTTTACACAAAAAAAGAAAGAAAGAAAAAAGAAAGCTAAAAGAAAAAAAGGATTGAACGTCTCACTTTTCAAATTCTAAGGAGGTTATTCAATTCATATTTTTAAAGATTGTGATAAATTATATATTAGTATCTATAGATTCTGTTAAGCCTATAGATTAACTAGTATTTCACTCGTGCGTTGCACGGTGATGGTGTAAAACCAACGTAATACTATGTTACGAAAAGCAGAAGGGTTGTAGGTGGATACACATATAACCTGAGTAGTTATTAATAATGTAAGGACCGTCTCTCGGGCGCTTGCGACATCCACCAGGCCAACATCTCGGGGTTGGTGAAGTCAGGTGGGGCCAGAATTCAGTACCCTCGGGCGTATGTGAACTTCCCAGGTGGTACCAGTGAGTTATATCCATCAAGGAGTCCTCCAACTCTCGGCTTTGTGGGCACCATCAAGGGCAGGAATCAAATGTGTGAATAATTTTGAATTTTGAATCCTCGGGTATGGTTGGCGGGAAAGTTTTTACGGAAATCTAGTACACCGACGCCTAGTTGTCGCGTCGTTTCCTCTTCCTGGATCGGCAGGAGTGGGCCACCCGGCTGGTCAGGTCCTAGACAGATGAGAAGCTCTGGATGGAGGTCATGATGGTCACCGCCCAGAAGGATGCAGAGGTAGCCCGGTTGGCGCCCGAGAAAATGAAGGAGAAGCTGGTCGAACAGGCCGAAGCCTACCGGGGTCTCTTTGCCAAGCACGAGGGCTTGCTAAAGTCTGCCAAGGAGTCGAATGAGCAGGCTAAGTGGAAGATCGCTGAGTTGGCGGAGAAGGCCGGGCAGACGGGCCAGCTGGAGGAGGAGAATGCCTAGCTAAGGGCTGAGCTGGAGAGGGAGCGCTCTGACCGGGTTGTTCACACCGTTGCTTGGGCTGCGGAGGAACCAGAGAAGTTTTTTTTGCTGCCCAGGCACTTCGTGACTGGGAGGTTGGCATACGGTTCTTTGAAGTGTCCCAGCAACTTATTGATGACATTAGTATCTTTGGGTTTGGGACCGGTCAGTACCAAAAGCACCGTGGGCTGTACGGGATCTTGAGCAACTGGGTGCAGGATTTTAACCTGGCCGTTCGAACTCTCAATCTCTTTGTTCACGGCCAAGCTGTATCTACCCGGTCTAACGCATCTCACCATTCTTTCTACCAGAGTAGAAAATAAGCCACCCGGGTGGGTTTTGACAGAGCATGTCCGGGCTATGCTTTAAAGTTGATCATGTGAGTCATTTCTTCTTTCACCCTAGTGAACAAGAGCTCTAGTCCTCCGAGTGAGCAAGGCAATCAACTCTTTCCCTTCATGGCCTCGGCCATGCAAACGGGGGAACATATTCTTGAAAAAGTCCTCTGAGCCAAGTTAAGTGAATCCATTGTGACCCTGTCACTCACTCGAGTCTGAATCTTGATCGGGTGGGCAGTTTTGATTTTTTTTTATTTATCCTGGGTAGGTTGGTTCACCCTGACTTTGCCTAGGTGAAAAGTGTTCAGGGAAAGATATCGAAGATTGATGTAGGCCCGATGTCCCCAGTCTGACCGGGCTCTCTCTATTTTTTCTAAAACCAATGTGCAACCGGTATACCCAATTCGATTAGGCTCAGACTTGTTGGAAAATATGTGCAATACTGGTGTGAGACCAGTGTACCAGTTCGACTAGGTCACATATTTTCTTTATTTTTTTATTTATACTGCACAAGACCGGTGTGAGACCAGTGTACCAGTTCGACTAGGTCGCAGTCTTTTTAATATGTGCAAGACTAGTGTGAGACCAGCGTACCAGGCCGCGCTTGTGTCACATACTTTTATCTTTTTTTTGAGTTCAATTCGATTGAAATATGGTGTTCCGCTGAGGTGGTTTTGTAATGCTCAATTCGATTGAACATTGACCAGGCGGACAGGTTTGCAACCTTACCCGACCGGTCTTACCATCTTTTCTGAAAAAGTATAGTGATCCGCCCAGGTGGTTTTGTAATGCTCAATTCGATTGAACATTGACCGGGCAGATGGGTTTGTAACCTTCCCCGACCGGTCTTACCATTTTTTCTGAAAAAGTATGGTGTTCCACCCTGGTGGTTTTGTAATGCTCAATTCGATTGAACATTGACCAGGCTGACAGGTTTGCAACCTTCCCCGACCGGTCTTACCATCTTTTCTGAAAAAGTATGGTGTTCCACCCAGGTGGTTTTGTGATGCTGAATTCGATTGAACAATGACCGGGCAAATGGGTCTGCAACCTTCCCCAACCGGTCTTGCAAATAGTCTTTTCAGAAAAAAGATCAACTTTATTGAACATTGGCACGGTAATATCCGGTCTTAGTGGATGATGAAACGGTTGTTCAACACCACTTTCTTCTTTTCCTCCCTACAAACCCTCTTCAAGAGCCTCTCCAAACGTTCTTCTGCCCCGTCCACCTAGTTGCTGGGTGGTTCAGCATGCGTGCGCATCGCCACCCTAGGCTGACTTTCCGCCTGGCCCTCCACTCTAGGCACCCTGCTGTGTTGGGGCTCATCACAGAGACGAGGGTCAGAGCACCCGATCCGACCGGGTCGCCTACCACCTCCTAGTCTATAGAATGCGTGTGGCTGGGGAACCTTCACCCCTAACCGCTCCTTGGCCGGTCGGTTCTGGTTCCGCCCCTCGTGTCCCAGCCGTTGGAACGCTGAGCGTCGTGAACCTTCTAGCTGGACCGCTTTGCCCTGCATCTTTTTCTGGCTCCTAGGAATGTCCCAGTCTTCGTCCCTGCTGCGTATAGAGCGCACGTCCCCGTCGTGTGTGACCTGAGTGGGGAGTTTGTGGGATCTGCTCTTCGTGGACCGAGAATGACCTGCCCTTTCCAGCTCCCCGAGTGGTTTTGTCGGGATGACCGACCGAGTGGTACTAGCTGGTTGAAACGGCGGGGGATGCCCCAACGTGTTGGGAATAGATGTATTTTGAGCCAGAGCATGGAGATACATCCCAGGGATGAAAAGAGTAAATCATGCACGTTGCTAGAAAATGGGCATAAATTGTCCAAAGTTTTGGAAGGCTTGACTAGGCGTTGTTTGAGTAGTAAAGGTGGTGATCATGAGGGAGAAAAGAGAAGGTAATGATGTGATTCCTCCCGGGATCAGGGTAACGCCCTCCACCGGGGTGGAAATTTGGGAGATGATGGATTCCATGTTGTTGTTCGTCATGGTTTCTTTTTGTAAAGAGGTCCCATGGTCGGCGCCAATTTGATGGTGTAAAACCAACGTAATGCTAAGTTACGAAAAGCGGAAGGGTTGTAGGTGGATACACTTGTAACCCGAGTAGTTATTAATAATGTAGGGACCGATTAAAAAGTTACAAGCCGTGCGGATTAATTAAAGTATGCCTCACAAATGAGGCTTTTAGTCCTATTTATAATAAAGAACAAGCACGTCAAGCACGTCCCGACGTTACTATTCTTCCAGCCGGTGAGTCTTCAAGTCATCAACCCGGGTAGTTTTCAACCCGACCAGTCTTCAAGCCATCCACCCAGGCAGTCTTCAAGTCATGATCTTACCGGTGTGACCCCTAACATCCACCCGGTCAGATTAACGGGTACGGTGAGGTCAAGCCTGGTCAGACTTTAAGCCTTATGCAAATGAAGTCACGATCTGACATGTCTGACCCCCCGACATCCACCCGGTCAGTCTACCGGGGTTTCTGAGATCATGTGGGGTAAGCATTCGGATCTCTCGGGCGCTTGTGACATCCACCCAACCAGTCTCCCAGGGTTGGTGACGTCAGGGGCCAGAATTTTGTACCCCGGGCGTCTGTGAACTTGCCGGGTGTTACCAGTGGGTTATATCCATCACACGGGATATGTTTATTCAATAATAATACACTATATCTAGAAATGATTAACGACTAATTTTTCAATTTTGTATGAGATGATTAATTTTTTATTTTAAAAAAGTATAACTTGAAGAATGTAATACCCATAATGTAATATATATGATGAGTATAATGTACCACTTTAACATACGAAAAATGTTGTAAGCAAAATACTTTAAATATTTTGAAAAACTTCTTTAAAAATAACATTAGTGATCTCATCAGCTGCCATGTCTCCATCATTGCATATCAAAATACAATTGTTTTCATGGACATGGCAACATACACTTGTCTCCTAACCCTGGACATGACAATATAAAATTGTTTATGACTAAACACCATTTTTTAAGTAACACTACAACCTTAGAAAGAGATTGTCCTTGACTCTTGTTTATGGTCATTGCATATGAAACCATAATAGTAAATTGTTTTCTATGAAACTTAAAAGGCAATCTTGTAGCAGACCGTGTTAAATAAATTCTAGGTAGTAATATCTTTTCACCTACATTATTTCCAGTTATAACTCGATCCTCAAGCCTCGTTACTTTGAAGTATTTTTTTTTGTGATCTACCAACTTTTTAAAAAAAAATAAATCTTTATAAAATTTTAATGTGTTTGTAACAAATTATTTTTTTTAAAGAATCTTTTTTTTTGTTTTTTTAAAAATTAAAATTCTAAATAATTCAAATAACAAATACTATAACATGCACCACGTTATATTATTGTATTTTTTATTATCATATTTTTCTAAAATAATTTTTTAAAAAATATTTCTATAAAAAGGTTAATGTTAAAGAGAAATATGAAGTCCTTTTTGTTGAATGTTTAAACAAAACTATTAAATATCTGAAATTAGTTTTTTCACATATTAATTTCACCCGCACATTTAAATGACTTAAATGTTAAATAAATCGTTTGTAAATATTCATAACACCTGCATTATCTCTAAAGTGAAGCTAAGATTATTTTTTGAAAGATCGGATAAAATTGATAATATTTTTTGAAAGTTTTTTTATAAATGGGCAAAATTTAGTCTTGTAAGGCTTTTTTTTTATAGGAAAAACCAATGATACTTGGGCTGGAACAACAATAAATTATGTTAGGCCGTATTTTTTATTTTGGGAGCGTCTAAAATGATATCAGTTACTTATACACCAGTTTGTTTGGAGTACCTACGGTGCCCCGTTTATGAAAATGACGGTTCCTACCCCTCAACCATCTCCCTAAACCACCACCCAGCCTCACCCTTGCCCCCCCCCACCCACCCCCCCTCCCAACTCCCCTCCCTACCATGGCAGAACTACCATGGTATGGAGGGGGTGGGAGGGGGCTGGGGTGGGGGGCAAGGGTGGGGCTGGGGTGGAGGGTTTAGGGAGAGGGTTAGGGGGGCTAGGAACCATCATTTTCATAAACGGGGCATCGTAGGTACTGTAACACCCCAATCCATATAACCCAGAATTACACGAATTAAGGTGAAACGAGAGTTAAATAAAAATTTCGCTTGGCATTTGAAAATGACAATTTATTATAAATGTTAAATTTACAGACTCTAGATCGCGACCCATTTAAAAATATTTTCAGAGTAATGCGGAAGTACAATAATAATCAAATCATGACACATTTTAAAATCTGATGATCAAACATTTGCCTGCCATCCTTGCATCTCCTCTGACTCAATGCCCTCCGGGAATGGTTCCATCATTGTCTTCTTGTTACCTACGTGTAGTCAACGAAAAATACAAACTACACGCTCAGCGAAACCGCTGAGTGGTACCACGCTACAATTGTAGAATGATTCACAGACATATACATACATATATATATATATATGTCCATAAAATGTATAATAATATTCATAATATGGCACATTATATCATATAGACAATTTGATGAATCATGATAATAAATATTTAATGATAATTACATGATGGCACATTTAATTTAATCAATTTGATTGTTCTTGATGATGAGTACATGATGCGTAATTTATGTCACACATAGTCATGATGATTTTACTTGATGATGATTTCATGCTGTATGATTCTAACGAGCAAGGACACCCTTGCGCTATGAGATTCGCCCATTTGGTACGACGAACTCACGCGGCCTTAGTCTCTCAAGGGAGACTAGAAAGTAAGGGTGGTACTCGAAGCCCGAATACCATGTACGTACACTAAGCCCGGAACGGGTGATGCCGGACTAGTAAGTCCCGCACATCAACCTATAAGAGACGCAATTACGCATGATCTCTTACGCATGCACATGATGTGATATACTTCAATATGGATGATGAAATGAATCATATGATATGAACAATTTGTAAACAATATGAATGGATAAATATACTTTATTTTATTTGGGTGAAATCTGATAAAAATATCATTTAATTAAGCTACGAGGCTCGGAACGGTTGACCGTTTGGCACGGTGGTCGACCTCGACCTTCATTACATCGGGCTGGCGGAACACCGTGACGGTCGACCGTGGTTGACTGGCTGCGGATGGCGAACTTCGGCTAGACGGGCGGCGGTCGACTGTTAGCCACCGGCGGTCGACCGTTTGGCTAACAGTCGTGGTCCGTTTCAATGTTTAACGCGACGGTCGACCGTTTGCGTCAACCGTTTGGGTATGTGAATCTTACCCTTGATATTTTGAGTGTCCAAAAATATTTCTTTAAATCTTTTAAACACCTTTGATTAATATATACATATTTTTGGGTTGATTTCAAATGTTTATATATACTCACGTATTTATATAATAACTTTATGGATTTGGTGTATTATGGTCTTAACACAAAGATGACTTATATATGCACCACATATATATTTTGGAATGATTTCAACAAATGGATTAACATATATGTTCATGTACGCATGTGATGAATGATTCGACAAGTCTAACGCAAAGGNTTAATATATACATATTTTTGGGTTGATTTCAAATGTTTATATATACTCACGTATTTATATAATAACTTTATGGATTTGGTGTATTATGGTCTTAACACAAAGATGACTTATATATGCACCACATATATATTTTGGAATGATTTCAACAAATGGATTAACATATATGTTCATGTACGCATGTGATGAATGATTCGACAAGTCTAACGCAAAGGTACAGACCTGGAAATCATCGGCCGAAACCTTACGGATGAGCGGGAGTGGAAAAAACATCGAAATTCACCAACTTTGTCATTCCCGTCACAACTGGACAGCCTGCGGTAGTTTGGGCATATCTCCATCGTTTCTTCACGGAATTGCAAACTGTTTGATTTTGTGGATTCCTAAGATGTAAGGCTACAACTTTCGTATAGAAAGCATTTCGTTTTAACATATGTAAGACAGCGTAAATCGGACCTGAAGTCAAGGGATAGTTGCTGTCCAGAATTTCGGGTATGTCGATGAACATGATTCCGACGATTAACTCACTAACTTCAATGTTCCAACGCCGAACTTTCTCTATGATACCTTCCGGATGTTCCTAATAATTGTTAAAAAGTTTATGGTAAGTATTTGGGATGAAATGATATGAATTTGGTGAGGAAACATAGCCAATCCCGAGGAGCTCGCCACCACTGGCGCAGTCCTGGTATTTTGGCCATATCTCCTTCGTTACTAAACGAAATCGCGAGCCGTTTGTTGGGCTGGATTCTTATTATCCGGGGCTACAACTTTGGTTCAGGAAGTATTTCGAGAATATGGATAGAAAATTTCAGAACTTACGTAGAAGTTGATGCTGCGTTTGGGACTCATGATTTGGAAACTATGGATGGTTTTCTTGCTTCTCCTTCTTCTTCCTTAGCATAAAATCATGGAGTATTTTGTGTTTTCTTCCTTGCTTGCTGGCTTTCTGGTTCATATGAGAGAGAGAGAGAGTTGATAGGAGATGGATGGATGGTGTTGATGATGGATATGGTGGATGATGTTGAATGGTGGTGTATGGTGTAGTTTTGGGAGTATTATATACTGATTTGGAGTGTTGTATTAGTGGAGAGTTGAAATTAGGATTGTGAGTATCACAAAGGGAAGCTACGTGATGTGGGAGAGATTTGGAAAATAAAGTTTTGGCTTCTTGCCAAAACTGAACCGTTTACTCTAAACGGTGCGCGCTTTTTGACCCAAACTGCTCCGAATTGAAAATGGATTGTGTTTTTGGAATGAGAATGTCAAAACTAGAATTTTTATGTAGTCAAAATATTTTTCTGAGAACTTTTATTTTTCTCAGTGTTCAGGTCTGTCTCAGTCATAAATTAATTTTGTAATATGAATGAGATAAAAATATATGAATTAAATCCAAATGATTAATATGATGTTGTCAAGGGTCAAAATTATGATTTCTAATCTTATGAAATCACTTTTGAATTGAGTTTATTTTATGGGTCAAAGTTACAAATTTTAATATTTAAAATTGACATAACTTGAAATCTATAAATCAGATTGGTTCATAAAATGTTTTGTTGGATTCGTCTCTTCGAGACATATCCATAAAAATAACTTTTTAACAAAAGTCATTATTTTGAAAATCCATTTATTTTTGGTCAAACGTATTAATATTTCTTATTGGACAGAATTTACTTTTGTTTTATAATAAATTTTAGGCCATATTTTGTGGCGTTACATTTCTTCCCCTCTTAAAGAAATTTCGTCCCCAAAATTTCCTTAATGAAGTCATTTAAAAATGATGATGTACAAAATAATGAATATCCATTGTTTTTGTAAAACACAAATTTTGAAAAGTTGTTTTCTCTTTGTTTTGTTGAGTGTCATTCTTATGACATGTTCTCTTTAGAGAATATATACACGGATGATAGATGTAACGTGTTTGGATTTCTTTTATGAAGACTTGCATCGAATATACTCTTAGACTTGCTCTTGCTGTATTGTAGGAGTTCTCAAGAGTTCTTGTATAGATTGCGTTTCTTGAACGTGGTGTAATTTACGATTTTTTTTTGAAATTCTTTTAGAATCATCCTGAGACGACTTTGTCTGAAATGTTGGTTTCACAAATTACGCTTCGTTGTGTACAAGCTGGAACGAATTGTTTGATTGATTTTTTTACATAACAGTATTTTGGGACATGACTATTACCATAGTCATCATTCTAGGTTTTCTAGATGAATACGAAATTATAGTTCCTAAACTTAAACTCTCATTAGTGATCCTTAATGGAGTTGCTCTGACTAACGTAATGTCAATAGACTGATTTCATATCGTTTATGCATGCCTATAACTGTAAACACGCATATCATACTTATGTATAATGATGATATATGTTTTTTTATAACATTGTAATGATTGAATAAATATTTTGATAACACTTGCTATTTTGTCACTATTTGTCTTATTAAGATGATATGTAGTCATTCTTGAATATTGATTTTCTGATTAATGATTCTAGAACTGCCCTGGAATTTTTTTTTTGGCTTGTTCAATAATTATGAAAGAGCTTCGTGCTCAAAAATATAATATTAGTGTATTCGTCGTATCACTAATATTCGTAACACAATAGTTAAATTACTTATTATCAAAAACATGATAAGTTATACACGTAGTCATATTTTAATATGTTTGGGATTCTACAGACACATGCGTGATTTTTTTTTGAAGATCGGTATCATAAAACATCTTTTTGGTTCGGTGGAGAATTATGAGTTAAAACAAATTCTCAATGATTTGATATAAAAGAAAATATGAAATTCAATCTTTTCAAGATTGATCAAGTGAGATGCTTTAAGTGTATAATTAACACAACAAGTTTGAATATTTCAATGATATAAGTCACAAGATACGAATATAGCGTTTCTGAGTTATCGTGGCAAATAGTAGGTTTTCATCTTTTAATATTTCACTTTTTTGAAGTTACTCAAGGGGTCATTATCTTAGATAAATAGCCATTTTGACTATTCGTCTCGGAATTGAACACTATTCCCGAGTCTCAATATGTCATGTCGTCAGCAGACTATAGTATTGATGAGTACATTCTTGTCTGGAACGAATCCACTTTCATGTACGTTTTTAGGCTGGTGATACTTACTTTTTCATCAATGGTCCAGTTTCAGAGTCTATATATATCAAATTGGGCAAGAGTGTCTCACATTCTCACATTATGGAATGAACTTCTCAAGCTCTTCCTAATACCATAAGATTCATTGGTCTACTTGGTAGTCATGCTGTTGGTAGCATTCCAAGGTTCATGGCTACAGCGGTTGATCTAGGACGGGAATTGGTAAGGCGAAAAATCAGGCTTACCTACGGAGGAGGCAATGTTGGCCTTCAAGGAGCTGTAGCTTCAGCAGTCTATAATAATGGTGGTAGAGTCAGAGGTTTCATACCAGGGTATATAGCAACACGAGGGGTCTATGGACCAACATATGGCGCAGAGTACACCGTCTCCAGCAATTACTATAAGTATTTCGAGATGAATCATATTGTGGAAACCTTCATTGTACTTCCTGGAGGAATTGACACTATGGAGGGTTTATTCACTTTGATCTCATGGGCATCCGAAGGGTTACACAGTAAACCCATTGGTCTTTTGAACATTGACGGTTATTTCAATAACCTAATCAAGTTTCTAGATGATGCGGTGAGGCAGAACTTCATGGCTTTGAATAAGAGGAAACTGTTCATTTCTTCTTTCTTTGTTGATGAGCTTTTGAACAAACTAGAGTTTGTTAATGCTTTCCCGGGTCCTGGTGCCAGTTATGAAGAGTTTGCAAATCCTGGAAGATTAGACTTAGAGTTGCATCTGTAATATTTCCAAGTTGAAATAATATTGTCCATGTACATTATGCGTTAGTCACAAATATCGTTCTAAGCTGCATGGCCAGTGCATTTCAGAAGAATATTTATTTCCAATATCAAAATGCACCATGTAAATATTAATCTTTTTTTTATCTTCCAGTCTCTCACTCTTGGTGTGACTGTTTCAGGTCTTGTTTTGTGCTGTCATCTTGTTGCGACTTTTCACGTCAATAGGATATACGAACGAGTCAATTATCTTAATGTTTGTATGTAGATTCACCCCTATAATGGGTTTCAGATTCGATACATATGCCGTATTCGATCTGGTTTGTGAGGCTCTATTCTTGTTCTTAGAAAACGATAGGTTCACTCTTGGGGAATTTATTCACTTCTTATTTGAGAACGTTCTTTCTTTGACGTATTCTTCGGCTTGACAGAAGTTGATTCACATCGTTCGCTTAGCTATTCGCATACTATGACATACATATATGTCGCGCTTATAGGGCTTACAATCCCTCTTCTTAATCTTTGATCTTTTGATGTCGACTGTGATCGTTGAAGAATATTCTAAAGCAATCTATACTTTGTTGCAATCGGGTCTATGAGAATAAACAAATTTTCAATGAGTTAAGCATGTGTGTTATGCCATAGTAATTTACTTGTTGATTACCTTCCCGGGGCAGAGATGTCGCGGAGGATGCGGATGCAGGACTTTGAAAATATTGACTCAATGATCCGAAAATCGTTTTGCTCTGATACCAAAATGTAACACCCCAATCTGTATAACCCGGAATTACACGAATTAAGGTGAAACGAGAGTTAAATAAAAATTTCGCTTGACATTTGAAAATGACAATTTATTATAAATGTTAAATTTACAGACTCTAGATCGCAACCCATTTAAAAATATTTTCAGAGTAATGCGGAAGTACAATAATAATCAAATCATGACACATTTTAAAATCTGATGATCAAACATTTGCCTGCCATCCTTGCATCTCCTCTGACTCAATGCCCTCCGGGAATGGTTCCATCATTGTCTTCTTGTTACCTACGTGTAGTCAACGAAAAATACAAACTACACGCTCAGCGAAACCGCTGAGTGGTACCACGCTAGAATTGTAGAATGATTCACAGACATATACATATATATATATATATATATATATATATATATATATGTCCATAAAATGTATAATAATATTCATAATATGGCACATTATATCATATAGACAATTTGATGAATCATGATAATAAATATTTAATGATAATTACATGATGGCACATTTAATTTAATCAATTTGATTGTTCTTGATGATGATTACATGATGCGTAATTGATGTCACACATAGTCATGATGATTTTACTTGATGATGATTTCATGCTGTATGATTCTAACGAGCAAGGACACCTTTGCGCTATGAGATTCGCCCATTTGGTACGACGAACTCACGCGGCCTTAGTCTCTCAAGAGAGACTAGAAAGTAGGGGTGGTACTCGAAGCCCGAATACCATGTACGTACACTAAGCCCGGAACGGGTGATGCCGGACTAGTAAGTCCCGCACATCAACCTATAAGAGACGCAATTACGCATGATCTCTTACGCATGCACATGATGTGATATACTTCAATATGGATGATGAAATGAATCATATGATATGAACAATTTGTAAACAATATGAATGGATAAATATACTTTATTTTATTTGGGTGAAATCTGATAAAAATATCATTTAATTAAGCTACGAGGCTCGGAACAGTTGACCGTTTGGCACGACGGTCGACCTCGACCTTCATTACATCGGGCTGGCGGAACACCGTGACGGTCGACCGTGGTTGACTGGCTGCGGATGGTGAACTTCGGCTAGACGAGCGGCGGTTGACTGTTAGCCACCGGCTGTCGACCGTTTGGCTAACAGTCGTGGTCCATTTCAATGTTTAACGCGACGGTCGACCGTTTGCGTCAACCGTTTGGGTCTGCGAATCTTACCCTTGATATTTTGAGTGTCCAAAAATATTTCTTTAAGTCTTTTAAACACCTTTGATTAATATATACATATTTTTGGGTTGATTTCAAATGTTTATATATACTCACGTATTTATATAATAACTTTATGGATTTGGTGTATTATGGTCTTAACACAAAGATGACTTATATATGCACCACATATATTATTTGGAATGATTTCAACAAATGGATTAACATATATGTTCATGTACGCATGTGATGAATGATTCGACAAGTCTAACGCAAAGGTACAGACCTGGAAATCATCGGCCGAAACCTTACGGATGAGCGGGAGTGGAAACAACATCGAAATTCACCAACTTTGTCATTCCCGTCACAATTGGACAGCCTGCGGTAATTTGGGCATATCTCCATCGTTTCTTCACGGAATTGCAAACTGTTTGATTTTGTGGATTCCTAAGATGTAAGGCTACAACTTTCATATAGAAAGTATTTCGTTTTAACATATGTAAGATAGCGTAAATCGGACCTGAAGTCAAGGGATAGTTGCTGTCCAGAATTTCGGGTATGTCGATGAACATGATTCCGACGATTAACTCACAAACTTCAACGTTCCAACGCCGAACTTTCTCTACGATACCTTCCGGATGTTCCTAATAATTGTTAAAAAGTTTATGGTAAGTATTTGGGATGAAATGATATGAATTTGGTGAGGAAACATAGCCAATCCCGAGGAGCTCGCCACCACTGGCGCAGTCCCGGTATTTTGGCCATATCTCCTTCGTTACTAAACGAAATCGCGAGACGTTTGTTGGGCTGGATTCTTATTGTCCGGGGCTACAACTTTGGTTCAGGAAGTATTTCGAGAATATGGATAGAAAATTTCAGAACTTACGTAGAAGTTGATGCTGCGTTTGGGACTCATGATTTGGAAACTATGGATGGTTTTCTTGCTTCTCCTTCTTCTTCCTTAGCATAAAATCATGGAGTATTTTGTGTTTTCTTCCTTGCTTGCTGGCTTTCTGGTTCATACGAGAGAGAGAGTTGATAGGAGATGGATGGATGGTGTTGATGATGGATATGGTGGATGATGTTGAATGGTGGTGTATGGTGTAGTTTTGGGAGTATTATATACTTTTGTATTAGTGGAGAGTTGAAATTAGGATTGTGAGCATCACAAAGGGAAGCTACGTGATGTGGGAGAGATTTGGAAAATAAAGTTTTGGCTACTTGCCAAAACTGAACCGTTTACTCCAAACGATGCGCGCTTTTTCTCCCAAACTGCTCCGAATTGAAAATGGATTGTGTTTTTGGAATGAGAATGTCAAAACTAAAATTTTGATGTAGTCAAAATATTTTTCTGAGAACTATTATTTTTCTCAGTGTTCAGGTCTGTCTCAGTCATAAATTAATTTAATAATATGAATGAGATAAAAATATATGAATTAAATCCAAATGATTAATATGATGTTGTCAAGGGTCAAAATTATGATTTCTAATCTTATGAAATCACTTTTGAATTGAGTTTATTTTATGGGTCAAAATTACAAATTTTAATATTTAAAATTGACATAACTTGAAATCTATAAATCAGATTGGTTCATAAAATGTTTTGTTGGATTCGTCTCTTCGAGACATATCCATAAAAATAACTTTTTAACAAAAAATCGTTATTTTGAAAATCCATTTATTTTTGGTCAAACGTATTAATATTTCTTATTGGACAGAATTTACTTTTGTTTTATAATAAATTTTAGGCCATATTTTGTGGCATTACAGGTACCCAAAGAAAATGGCGTAAGCAAATGACACCAGTAGCACTGGTGTCATTTTAGACTTACTCTTTTATTTTTATGATTACAAAGTGAATATGAGAGTAGAGAGACTACCTTTCATTGTGAATTTTCAGAGTTCAGACCGAGAGAGAAATGGCGAGAAAGTGATTAGCCATCGGTGATCTTCTCCGCCGGTGTTCACCGGCAGTTTGTTGACAAGCATGCTAGAAATCGATGCATTAAATACAGATTAGCGCATGCCATGTTGAATCGCAGAAAAATGTAAAGATCTGAGCTCGATCTGAATTGTCTTTCAAAGGTAAGAAATGAAAATTTTAATTTTAGTTCTTTTATTGAAAGATCATATCTTTACACTTCATATCAATCGGATTTATATGAGGTTTGGGGCATGCTCCCTCCTGTCCCAAAAAGTCTTTCTGTTTACTATTACGGCCTCTCGATAACTCTTATTTGTTTACGTGTTTTCATCGATCGTTTGTTAAAATAAAATATTCTTGTCACCTCTTATTTTATAGAGTTTTCGATGTAGTTTTTAAATATAATTTTTTTATGTGTTATTTACTTACCAATTTGTAAATAAAATCATTTTAAAATCTATGGGATTTTACACATTAATCAAAGTAGTAAATTCTTTTTGGGACGAAGGGTGTATTAAAATTCAAGATTTTAATATACTCCGTATAAATTAAGCTTAAATATCAAATAATTTTAAAAAATTGCATTCTCTTTGTGCTTCTCGGCTCTGGTTTTGCATCTAGAAGGGCATAGAGCTCTTGGCGCTAAAGATCTGACATTTGTTTTGTTTCTGGTGTAGCAGGAAGGTTATAGTTTCTTTTTTCTAGGTGGTTAAATAAAGTACCATATATTGAGAAGTGAAAATCAATCTTTTATTGGAGAGAATCCACTAAACTTAAGTTTCTATGAGAGATATTTATTTGACTTTGAACTCTTCATTTTACACGTGCAGTTTTTTTTGGGTGCAAAAAAAAAACGCAATTTTAAACAGAAATGCCTTAGTCTGTTGTAATCTGCAATTTAAACAGAAATTCCGAATGAAAATGTTAAATTTTTTGTTCTCTTCATTTAACAATGTATTGAAGGTAGTAAGGTCCTTAACAGTTTAATGAAAGTAGTAAGATCCTTAACAGTTTAATGAAACAGTAACATATATTTACTGTGATCATCTTTCATTATAGGGACATATTCACATGAAAGCAGTCATCTTGCTTAAAATATTTCACTAATAAATTAAAATGAGTATTTAGTAGGAAAATGAGTCTGGAATAAGGGAAATGTGTGCAGGGCACACTTCTTAATATTAAAACAAAACACTGATAAGGATGTAAACATATCCATCTTCACTTCAAACTTTCTCAATATTGACACTCACTTTAGGGTTCTTGGTTAACTGCATCCCCACATCATCAAGTTCCTTTTTAAGGTCTCGTTTGATATTTGTAGATATAGTAGATGTAGTTCCATCCTTATCAAGTGTGGTACCGGGGTCTTCTTTAGAAATGTCCACACATGCAGCCAACTAAGTTGTATCTACCTTGGTTTTGAGAGCTTTGCTTCTCACAGAACCCTGTTAAAAAGCAAGTATTGATCATTGTTTTGCTATTACATAAAACATAGGGATAATAGCATAGGTGCCTCCCGTGGTTTACAAAAGGAGCGCCAAAACCCCCTCTACTTTCAAAAGTTATTTATAAAACCCTTGTCATTTTTCAATAGTGCACAAACACTCCCTCTTGCATATTTTACATATGAAATGACATTTCTGCCCTTGGTATTTCACTCTTTTTTTTTAAAAAAAAACAATTCACTCTTTTCTTTACATTTTTTGTCATACAAATAAATAAAATAAAATATACGCCCTCTTTCTAAAATTAAAATTTTTTATTTATTTAATTTTCAAAAATATAATTTTTTTTAGAAAATGTTACAAAAATGAAATAAAATACACTTTTTCATTATAAGTAAAAGTAAAATAAATAAAATAAAAATTGGATAACATATACTCACTCTATCTCTAATTTAAAATTCTAACTTATTTGTTGTTTAAAAGTAAAATAATTTTTTAAGGACTTTAAAAAATATAATGAAGAACTGAAAGATGAAATAAAATATGAAGTTAAAGAAAAAGAATATTTTTTATATTTTTATTTCTTTTCATTACCTTTTTTTTAACTATTATTACTTTTTACTTTGTACATAATATTTTATTTTTCACTTTTTTTGTAACATTCTCCAAAAAATCTTTTGTTTTCAAAAGTACATTATAAAAAATTCTAATTTGAGATGGGAAGCGTATATTTTATTTTATATATTTGTATAATAAAGGTAATTGAAATTGGAAAAATTTA